AGTAAATGAATAATTGTAGTGACAATATCACCGAGGCTCAGTTAACTTTATATGCCATACTAGAGAGCTTCTGGGTTATGCAGTGAAGTGGGTTTGAACCAGTTCAGGGCACAGTTATACTGGTCACACTGCACATGGTCAGTATCACACAAGCCTAAGACACATAGGAGTGATTTTTTTCCTGGTGTGAGCCAGCAGCATCCTACGCTGAATCATTTGCTTACTCAGTGGGCAGTAGAAACAGCAGCCCCGTTGTGCTGTGAGAATATGTCATATGCTCACCTTAGGGAGCCCAGACTTCTGCCTCTGACGTCCTCGGCAGCGTTTCCCCAGGAGGAAGCACCGCTATGGTATCTCTCTCGCAGGCAGCAACGCGGTGCTTCACATCCCCCCTGCACGACAGCGCGGGAGCAGACGAAGCAGGGACACGCTGCTGGCGACGCCGGTGCTGCGGATAGCGAGCCGGCCTTCCCAGGCTGTCCACCAAGGACACTTGGCAGCCACGAACCACCGCCAGCTGGTAGAGCAGCCATTCCAACGTCGCACTGAAACTTCCCGACTAGCACGGGTCAGCAGCAGAGCTCTGCGCGGGGTTACAAGCAGAGGCAGAATTTTAGGACAAGGAAGACAACGGCTGTGAAATGTTGGAGCTGACACGTGGACCACGGTCCCACCCTCCATCAAGGCAGCGGGTGCCCTCATCTGTTGGAAATCAGCAGTTCTTTACTCCCACTGCTCTGTTGCAAACCAGTTTGAGTTTAGGAAGATGGCAGCAGTCAAGTTGCAGCAGTTCGATGCACAGTCCCCAACCCAGTCACCACCTTCCAGCGATGGACAGGCAGAGGTTCGAGCAGGCCCCTGATGGTGGTGGCGCCTGACGGCTCATGCTGTGGAAGTCTGCAGCCCCTCCGAGGCAGCACCAGGAACAATTCCTCACCTCTGTGATTCTAACTGAGCAGCGCCATCAACACTTCACTATAGTCAGCATTCGCCAGATCCTTCCAGCCTGGGAAAGGGCAGTACAGCCACGGCAGCTCCTGCCGTCCGTCCGGACCTTTCTGATCTTGCCGGTGGCCAGCCCCGTGCTGTCGCCAGCTAATCCCTTAATCCCTGCTTCCTGCCGGTGCATTTCCCAGGACACTGCTTGGCTGCGGTGCTCTGTGAGCACTACCAAGAGCCTGGGAAGTGGCTGGGGACTGCAGTTACCCCAGCAACAGCAGGTGAAAAGCCAGAGCCAGGAGACACAAGTCAGGAGAGAAATCTCTAATTGCCTGCTGCCTGTCCATTCTGCACCTGCTGACAGGAAAGCAGGGATAAAGAGGAAAAGCCTGTGGTGGAAACAAACATTTCTTCCTCTCTTCTCATGTACTGCCAGCTGCTGATACGACCCCTGCCCAGTCCACTGCTTCCCAGTTTTGCAGGCTGCAGTGGAAGTCAGATCTTCAGGTCTCAGCAAAAAGAATTAAAGAATTGCATGAGCAGTAACAGAGCAAGAATTTATTATGAAGCAAGTAGAAAAAAGCGATCAAAGCAAAAAACAAAGAGCAAGAACCATACAGGACTGAATGAAGATCACATTAACACTTCTTATAAGCCGCTGCATCAGGAGAAACTAACCTCTACTGTACGATCAGCAAAGGAAAACTATACTGAGGAAGGTGGCACCGGAAATGTGGGATGGAGAATAGTAAACCAGGGAGGTCATCAGACCCTTACACAACACACTGCCATCACCTCTGGCACGTAGCTCATTGTGCACTTATACAATGCCAACTGCAATCTGCTTGAATCCATCACAGTCCTGGAGAAGACTGCACACACATCTCACTGAGACATCTCCAGCACCACCGCAGCTTCTTGTTGCAATACTGAAGTTACCGTCCCTAAAAGCCCTCGTTTAAATGCACCCACCCATGCCTTTAGCTGTCTTGCACTGGCCCCAGGCATCTTCAGACAAGTTGCTACCATTCCCTCTTCAGCTAAATAGATAATCCCTGCCCCAGGGCTATTAAGGTTACCACCATCACACATCTGCATTGTCTTAGGGGGTTGGCTCATGTATTTTCTCCTGCTGGCCCTGGGGCAGGACGGAGGGTGCCTCAAAGGCACGAGTGGGTGCAAGCCAGACTGGACAGACAGAGGGGCTCCAGGGTTAGGGTTTGCGCTGTAGCAAGAGGAGGATAAATCCCAGATTCACTACCTGCCTGAAGGCAAGGGGACAGGCAGGACCAGCCTCCTCTGCCAGCTTCACAGCAGATCTGATGGTGGGTAATGCCACACGGCTCCACCAGGCCAAACACCCCTTTGCTTGGAAATGTTGCAGTGTTATTGTGCAATTCCTCCTGCTCCAGCAGGAAAAGCAACTTGTACACATTCAGAAGCAAACGTCACTGCTGGTAACGCGCCATCCCATAGCTGCTTACCATCTTAACATTCTTCTGTTTTACGCTCCCCTGACTAATCCAGAGTGAGAGCGTTCTGAGATACAGGAGCAATGCTTGCAGGCTCACTGCATTTCAAACACTTGAAATGAAATAATCTACTATTTTTGCTGAATTTGTACACCTGCAGTTTGACAAAAATTGCTGTGGAGCTACAACTGTGCCAGTAAAATTTCCAGGAGATGCTCAGCTACAGCATCCTTGGGTTTCCTCAGGAGCTCCGTTCCCTTCCCAGGCTGCAGTAAGTCTCCTTGCAGGAGAGGGAAGATGTTTTCCTCCAACTGGAACAGCCTCGAGCACTCTCAGCACTCAGGACCTCCCAGGCACGTGCAGACCTGAGAGATCTCTAAGTGAAGAAGTAGCACCAACACAGATCACTGCACAGCAACCAACAGCCCCCACAGATCTCCTGTGGCTCTAGCATCCGGCCTCCTGCTCTCTCAATCCTGTAGAATCAGTGGCTGAACAATCAACCGAAGGAAGAAAAGCTGGGCAAACAGGATGGGTGTGGGAAGCCCCAGGTACGGTGTGGACAGATGATATTTGCTGTGATGCGAAGCCAGCACATCCACGTCTACAGGACATACTTGATCTGGGTTAGCGGACTGAGTGGCTTCATCTTCTGAACGATCTCGCCATTGTATTTCTGATCTGGTTCTAGGTCAGAAGTCAGATTTAACAATTGCTGAACCATTTACTAAAGACTGGGAAACAAAAGACCACAAGTGATGACTGCTTTCCCCCAGACCCCTTTCATAATCATTCTGACCATGCAAATGTCAGTCAATACCACCCTTCAGCTCTCCAGCTGGAAACACACAGGAGATGAATACCTCAGCTTCCCCCTCCTGGAAATTAAGGTAGCCTCGTTCCGATGGAAGGGTGGAAGATCCTTACTTACTCGGGCACAGCTACAAAAGCACTCTCCCCTTCTGACAGATGTTCCAGATCTCTTGCATCAGAAGCGTGTTTCATCAATCTCCTTAATTCAGTTCTCTTCCTAACTGCACTCCAGTCCTCATTTCAGATGCGAGACAGGTACTTCTACATGTAACTAAGATTTTTTTAATCAGGATACCAGAGGAGAGACTTACCTTCTCTCTGTTTATTGGTGTGGTACTTGGATACTACGAAGCTCAACACCCTGTGAAAACCTATAAATAAGGAAAGGCCCAAATCCAATTATTCCTTCATAATTAAATTTAAGAGCCATTTGTAAAATCAATGGCATATCATCCAGAATTTGCTAGTAAGAAATCTAAGCAGCCTTTTGTCACAATATGCAAATTCCCACCTCACCTGTTTTACAATGCAGAATTTCTGGTTGCTGGCTGCAGGGGGAGACAGGTCCTCAGTATTTCTGGAATATTTTTATTCCAGAAAAGAATTCCAAAGGTGTTAGCAATCCAATCACCGGCAATTCTGCTACGCAAGATGCATCTAGAAATGACCGTTCACCTTCTGTCACACCACTAGAATTCCATTAACAAAAGTGTGACGACATCACTTGTACAGCGTGCTCACACCAGAGGACAAATGCTGGGGACTCATATTTATCACACAGCTGGGCCACACAGGAAATCATAAAGAATTTGCAGGAAGGAAACTCAAGTTCAGATTTCAGATGGGTAAATAGAAAAAAGTGTTAAGTAGTTAGCCATCGTTATTACAGTATTTCTTCAGAAGCTTAAAATGACATGAATTCAAAGTGAAGGGTATGTGCTACATAGGATACAAGTCCTCGCCGAGATGCAAAGGTTCTGTTCTGGCTTTCACTGCCAGCCAAAATACTGCTGAATTATTTACTATGTGAGAATTACCATCCATGTGTTCTGACCACACCAAAGAGGCTACAGAAAGGACACTGAGTAAAAACGCACACAGCGAATTTACAGTGATATTATACCTCCATAATCAGCAGGCCTACAGAGGCACCTGGACTACGGAGATATAGAGGAGAGTCTATGGAACCTGCTGAAAATGCCAATAAATCACTAAAAAAACACCGCTCTTAAGCATCAGTGTTAAGTAACTCTGTGGTGCTACCTTAAGGACAACTTACCAATCTAAATTCTTCTGTGTGAGGGTAGGGTGTATCTTAATAATTTATATGCCCCAAAGCACTTTCAATCCGATAGAACTGACAGCAACCCCTTTATGTTAGGTCAGCTTGCACCTAAATGAAATAACTGCTTTTTGAAACTGAAGTTACTAAGGAGTTAGTGGTCGTGCTGTGATCATTATGACACCATGTTTTTGCCTTTGAAGATCTTAGGACAGTCAGGATTGTAATCAGAAAGGCTGCTTCTCCCAGAGCACATGTGCACGTTAAAAAAAACTCTTAATAACCAAACATTAGTTTTTGAATGATTGAGCTGCTAAGTAACCACCTTAAGAGACAAATATATCCTTGTTAAGTTATTGGACAATGTGGTTTCTATTTTTTTTTTTATTTTTTTTGTTCTTAATTTTTGTTTGTTGTTGCTGGTCTGTTTGTTTTTAATACAATTAAGGATGTGCCGTTTACACCCCACAAGAAAAAGCAGAAAGAGTCCTTATGGAAAAAACAAATATATTGAACACATACCAATCAAATGGTACAGATATGGGACTGGCTTTGATTTCAAAATTTAAGTAGAAATAAAAAAGATGTAATGCAACAGCTGTTCAATTTCCAAGTCTAAATAGGCACTGTAAAAAGACATTTCCGCTTTCTCCAGCACACATTCCTGTCTAAATGCTCCCACTGTAATCAACTCCTAGGTTCCCAAACAAACAAACAAACAAAAAAAAATCAATCACTGGGAACACCACCTTAGAGTAAAAGTTAATATCCATCCACCCACCCTCTTACAAAAAAGCAAACAAAAATAATCCCCCCAAATACAACCTTTCAATGCTGCCATTTTGACTGGAGCAGAATTGGAGAATTGATAAAGGTTCAAAAGCACCCAAGGCAAGTAGTACAATAGAATTTGTTCACTAACTTGTATTGGAAAGGAGATTAAAAACATTGAGATCTGCATCTTGGTACATAAAACTGTTGTCCTGAATAAAGAGAAATCTTTCAGAAAAGTTTTACAACTTGGTGGAAGTCCAGGACCCAGCTTTAGGCATCATTAATTGATGGGGTTTAATTCTGACTTGGTTATAACCACTTTTATATACTGTACATCTACCCTAGTTGGATCAGTGTCTGGAACTGCTCACTGGTGTCCCTTTGAACAACTGTAAACTAAACCATAGTATGCAACTCCATAGGAAGCTAGAGATCAGGTGAATATACAGCCAGTTATATCTCCCCTGCTTCACGCTCTTCTGAGCTCCTAGGGTCTTCTGATCGACCATTCGCACTTTCATAGGAACGTTTCTTGTCTTTGAAATCTCGCGGTGATCTCTCTCTCGAGCTTCTATCTTTATCACGTGATGTTCTATCACGATCTCTCGAACGTTCTTTGTCTCTGGAAGATCTTTCTTTTGAGGATCTGTAAAGTGCAGTACATTTGAGAACTCAAGTTAGTCACAAATCTATAGCTGTCAAACAGCATTCTGATTTTATTTATTTCTTCTTTTTCCAACCTTTAGATTTATACAAATAGAAGTGTATGAGAAGACGCCAGAAATCATTCACTTTTCTCCCTTTCCTACTTCCAATTTCAAAAAACAAGTATTGATAGAGGCAGAATTTAATCTACATTTATTACATAGCCCAGATTAAGGTCAGCGTGCTTCACTCTTCTTTTCAATGTCTGCCTTCAAGCTTGCATCAACAGAAGTTTACTTGAAATTTCTCATCTGTAGTCTCTAGCTTGAGAATAATGTCTAGCCTACCTCAGACATATAAACTACAAACTCAAAAAATGTGTTTAAAAATAGGATTTTGATCAAAAGCAGGAGGAAATTAACTTGTGTAATTCTGGAATGAGGCTACTACATGACACATAAAAAAACAAATCTGGAATCTGCGCTATAATTAGGCTTTGTTAGAAGAATTATCCCTTGTGTGATTTTGCAATGTTGGGGTGGTGTTATTTTAAGATACTTTACTCTGATAACAGACATCTCCAAAAGCTTTACAATGGCGCCAAAAAAGAGCTGCTCTGTTAAAGAATCCAGTTTTAAATTAAATAAGCTGCCTGTATTGGAAAAAGGCTGGATCAGTCATCCTCCTCTATATTCCCTCACCGAGTGCGCCTAAGCCTGTTGTTGAAACACATCACATAATCATTTTAAGACGTAGTGCAATCATAAAAGAATCACATACATACTTCCACAGAAAAATCTTAACAGCATGCTATAAAGGTAGCCACTAATTTCTTCGTCAAAAAATCTGGTGTACTGGACAGTGAGACTCTACTCTTTCCACTTACAGAAAGTTACTGTCATCACCTCAAAGCTTCAAAACTGAAGTCCGCAAAATGCTCCTGCACTAATTTTCTTTTATAAGCTTACAAAAAAGTGACCTTGTATTTTAGTTCCTCAGCTGGAAAGACTACACTCCCTACAATGTAGTATCTTGCAAGACTTAGTATTTGCAAACATTGAGATCCACGGGCATTACTCCTACATGCCAAATAAGAAGTTAATACTGGAGTTAGTACAACTGTTTCACAAATGTTTTGCGCTGTAAGTGCCCTGCAGGAGTGACAATGCTTCCAAACTGACTGACTCAGGCCAACTCTAGTAATTAATCCTGGAACAGGCAGACAGATAGGACCTGATGCCACCCACAGCTTTGGCTTTTCATTCAGTGCATTTTTGGGGGAATGCAAGATGCACTTGTCCAGCTGTCCCGTCTCTCTACAGGTGAGTCTCGAATCAGCTGAGAAGGAAGACTGTCTTTAATGACGCTGTGGTTTAAGCTCAGCCAGCAACTGAGCACTAGACAGCTACTCGCTCACTCCCCCGGCCCTGGTGGGATGGGGGAGAGAACTGAAAGAGAAGAAGTGAGAAAACTCATGGGTTGAGATAAGAACAGTTAAGTAACTGAAATAAAATAAATTGTAACAAAAAGGAAAACAACAAAGAGGGAGAGAAATAAAACTCTAGAAAGACAAGCAATGCAAATGAAAAATAATTGCTCACCACCACCTGACTGATGCCCAGCCTGTCCCCAAGCAGCTGCCCATCCCCAGCCAGCTTTCCCCCTAGTTTATATGCTGAGCATGATGTCATTTGGTATGGAACATCCCTTTGGGCAGTTTAGGTCAGCTGTCCTGGCCGTCCCCCCTCCCAGCTTCTGTGCACCCCCAGCCTCCTTGCTGGCAGGGCAGCATGAGAAGCTGAAAAGGCCTTGACTTACCGTAAGCATACCTCAGGAACAACTGAAACATTAGTGTGTTCTCAAAATTATTCTTGTCCTAAATCCAAAACAGAGCACTATACCAGCTACTAGGAAGAAAATTAACTCTATCCCAGCCGAAACCAGGACAAACGAATCACAGCATAGTGATGTGAAAGTTTATACAATTGCTTTAGCAAGCAGGATTACTACTAGAAGACTAAGAACTAAAATACCATTCCTGCCTTGCTCAAGGGCAAGATACAGACTTTAGAATCAGAACCTCTACTACACTTCCTGTCATGTTCACCAACTATGAATCATGTTATAATATGTGATACTGGTTCCAAGACAGTATCTGTGGATGGCTGCATTGGGTCTGAGGATAAAAAACCGTAAGTAGCCTTGGACAAAAAGCCTAGGGCAGCCTTGGCAGTCTGGGAAAATCTTAGAGCAGCCAATTACATCTAGGAAAGCAGGGAAAGATGTAGCTACAGTTTCAAACCTTCCAAGGGGTAAGACATTTGACCAAATGGGCCTGTGTTTCCACTCACCCGCCCCCTGGCTTTCTCCTCAAAAGAGGTTAAAAAAGAAAAAATTAAAAAAAAAAAGAAAATAAAAAATAAAAGAAGGAAAATTAGATCTGTACTTCGGTACCACAGCAGAGAATTAGCATAGGGGCAGAATATTCTGTTGTCAACCAGGATCTGAAGGATATTTAAAAACAATCATCTAAATGCTAAGAGTGGGTTCTATCTTACACAGCTTTAAATGTCTGCAGTACAGACATCTAAGCTAATCAGCCAGATTTCCTTAACAGTCAGCAGAAGAAATAGACACTTTTTGGCATGATTTATCTCCTCTTAAAATAGCCACAAAATTATGTCAGATGAGTCTGTAATGAGACTCATGAGATTTACACCTGACCTAGTCATCTAAAGCCAGGTGAAACGAAGCCCCGTCTATGACTTCAGATACTCTATTTGTCCATACAGTGTCTGCCTGAGAGTACATTAGCCCTTGTCACATGAATTCTTGCAAATGGGCTCAAGCACACTGACACAACCATCTCTCAATTTACCCACATTTAGGTCTGCTGTCATGACTGATCTTATCATTGAGCATGCATCTCAACATCTAACTGCAAATATTCACTTTCTCTTTGCAAATCAAGAATCACAAATTATGTATTTTGTTTCTAATGAGACGAAAGATGATTTGTCATGCCAGCAATCCAAGTCTGGGTAGACATAGGGCTCCTATTACCTTAGGCACATTGCTGTTATCACCAGATGGGTTCCCATTATCTTAGACACATTGCTACTATCGCCAGGTACTTTGTATACATTCAGCTGTGCCCACAGAATGTGGAGGTCTGCTCCTCACACAGATAAATTTGAAATGAGAACCCAACCATTAAGATATTTAAATCTATCCACCTGTTCATAGGGTGAATGATGATACAGATTAAAGAAAAGGCATTTGTCAGACAAATTAATATATTTGTAGAATTTCCTCAGATACAGCACATAAAAAACATCCCTTTACTTTCAGAATTAAGAAGTATCTGAGAGATGGCAGCTTTTAATTTTACGTGCAAGGCTTCTCGGAAAACACTTTCTGAAGAAGGGTGGACAAGAAAACCAGAAGGAACTGCATGGTTTGCTGCAAACAATAACACCCAGAACACTTTTGCCTGTGACAATGCTGTCATACAGAATAAAATGGGAAAATTACTTCCAGAAGCAGCACATCAAGAGTTTCTCCAGTAAGGAGTCTAATTGCCTAGTATGCTTAGATGCTGAAACCATAACAGATGCTATCAAAACTGGAAAAAACCCAGACACATAAATAGCTTTTACAGCAGGATTCAGCAGCCTACAATAACTGTATTTTATGGTATTTTAACCAAGCCCAGAAATCACACTGAAAGCTTTAGGTTAACCTAAAATTATGCAACTCTTCCCATATAGGAACCACAACTCCACACTTCTCTTAAGGCCCTAGAATTAGTGGCACCATGGGCTGCCACTGCTGCAGCTCCCAGCCATCTTTCTGTTGCTTTTGGTGTCACACTCTGCTCTTCTGCAAGAGTCTGGCAAAAGCACCATGTTCCCCAGATCTGAATCTATTCAGTTATTCAACACTGAAAGGCTACAACTCCTTCCTGAAGAAGTTAACTTGCTGGAGTGTGCCTTTTATTTTCCAGAGTATTGTTAGCCAGAATTCCTTGGACAACTGAATGTTCTGAACTTAAGGAAGACAGGCTTGAATAAAACTATTTCACACCAGGATTTTAAAAAACTGCCAAAAAAAAAAAAAAAAAAAAAAGGATCTGACACGAAGTACTTCTCTGCAATACAAAAAGTTCTTAGCAGACAGGGAAGTATAATACATTTGAGTCTGCAAATTCAGGTTTATTTTGGATGCTGGCATCAACAGTGGTATAGTATTCAACAGAAAGACTTCTCCCATATTCATGTGAAAAGCAGCTCCAATGGCTAGAAGGGCATCTCTGGAAAAAAAAAAAAAGGAGGTATCCAGCCTGGCTGCAAGTTCAATAGCTATCCTGCTGTCGGTGAAGCAAGATCATCCTTTAGTCTCTTGAAAACGCAATATACATACTTTAAGAGTAGAAATTTTGCTTGACCTCAGAGAAATAAGAGGTATGAGCTGCTAATGATGGCACAGCAATTTTTTCCCTAAAGTTAACAGTACTGCAAAACTCTTTTTTGTACCAAGGATTCTTCCAACACAGGTGTGCCTCATTCCTTCAGGGCAGGAACTGACATCAGGAGAAGTATTTCCAGTACTGAATATTGTAAGACTGAAATCTTGTACCCTGAAGTATGTTATATTTTTTAACTTTTTCACACAAAACAAAGCTTGAAGAGCTTATCTGTTGATAGCATCTTGCAAAAGGACACTGACTTCATCTTCAAACCACCTTGTGCTTTTTCAAGTCACCTTTGGCAGCCAAGGCTGACAGGTTTAATGTTCTATGGACAGCACCAGCAGTTCACACCATTTCCTTGTCCTTACCTATTTCTCTGCCAACACACAAAAGACAATGCATCACCTGCATTGTGCATATCACATTGGAGAGTCTGAACAACTACAACGAGAATCCCAAAACAAACAATCAGTCTAGTTTTCTCTGAAGGACTGAAATTGAGTCTTGCAAGGCTGGACTTCAAAGTTGACAAAATAAAGGCATTTTGAGCATATACTCTATACATTAGTTTGTAATTTGTTAATTCACAGGATCCGAATATGGTTTTGATGAATTAAACAAAAGGATTAATTTGTGATTCAAATCAAAATGTCTATTTCAAAGACCGAAAAACTGTAAGTTTGAATATTTGCTAGTCTGCATTTGTGAATGCCTTGAAGAGGCAGGCTCTTTAGGATAACTCTGACGACAGGCTACAATGAAGATGGAAATTGCCGAGTTCAAAATGTTGACTTTAGGACATAAAAGAACACCCTTTTTAAAATTTTAATTACCAGACACTACTAATTATATCAACTAGAGTGCTGGACATGTAAGTTTTATTCATCTGCAACAAAAAGTAGGAAACAAAAGACTTGGACCAACCCTGTCTTCCATGCTCTCTGTAATAGAGCACAATGGGACTACAATCATCTACCTACTCCAGGAAGAAAAAAGCCCACTTTTAGGGCAAAGAGCCTATAAGATACTTGAACACATTCAATATACATTTCTCCATCCTTGGTGATTTAACTCCTAAAATCATGTGAATTATAAACCCTGCATGTGTGGCCACTTCAAAAACAGATGTTTTCTCTTCTTGCAAGTCGACAGTCTGTCAGGGTTTTAAGACTGGGCACCCCATCCACTGTGCTGCACTCAAATCTGTGCTATGGTGGCTGACCTATACAAGAAAGGAATCCTGGTTATGAGTAGACGTCCCTACCAGATGCCTTGTTGTGCAATTCCAACACTCCTCTAAATTATGCTTACCTCACTCATCTAAAATAAGCCAGCAAATGCTCAGGAGCAGACAGCAACTGAGTCATTGAAAAGCAACAGCCCAGACTGCGCTCTGCAGTAATTCTTCAGTGAGGGGTTGAGCCACTTTCCTTGCAAAGCAACATCCTCAGATGCAATGCAACAAGTTTATTTTCAGGCGTATCTAAACTCGTTTTTATCTGGCGCAGTACACAACAGATGGGCTTCAGTGCTGGGAACAAGAGCCCAACGGAAAACACAAATGGATGACAGCAAGACGACTGCTGATAAGCCTGTGTTCAAATGGAGATCAACTGTTTCACTTTCTACACTGCAAGAAGCTGCTAGTAACATCAACTTGAAACTAATACCTCGTATTAGGCCAAGCTCTTTTCAGTGGTGCCCAGTGACAGGACAAGGGGCAATGGGCACAAACTGAGGCACAGGAAGTTCCGTCTGAACATGAGGAAGAACTTCTTCCCTCTGAGGGTGACGGAGCACTGGAACAGGCTGCCCAGGGAGGTTGTGGAACCTGCTGCAGCAGGAGGGTTGGACTAGATGACCCACAGAGGTCCCTTCCAACCCCTACTATTCTGTGATTCTGTATCACTCCTCCAAAACAGAAACAATACAGAACCCTATTTTTTTTTAAAATCATCACTGTATGTCAAATCATAAATATACTAAAGGTGTAAATGAAATTTGAGATGGTCTGAAAATGTGTTTAAATTACCAAGTGCTAAATGTAAACTTAATTTAGTGCAAAAATTCTCACCATGCATCTAGGAAAAGCCATTTATTTCTAGGCCAACATTTACCTCTTTTTGGAGCTGCGTTCTCGGCTCCTCTCCCTGGAACTATGCCTGCTTCTATGGTGGCTGCGACTCCGGCTGCGGCTGTTAGAGCGAGACCTGTGATGATGGCGTTTCTCACGGGATTTGGAGCGAGTTCTTCTCTTTCGTTCCCGGGAGGCTGAGCGAGACCGATGTCTGCGGCGATCTCGGGACCTAGATCTAGGAACAGAAAGGACTTAAACCAGACACTGCATTCACCTAGCTACTCCATCAGTGAGTTTTGAATATTATGCACTCTATGCATAAGCAAATCTGTATAGAGAATGCTCTGCACTATTCAGAGCTATTGCAGTGTCCTATCATAGGCAAATAGACAGGGGAAAGCAACATTAGAAACCTTACAAATTCCTTTTTGACTAATACAGACAGTTTTACAGTTAATTCATGACTGTATGTATCGTTACAAAATAGCCAATTCAGGCTTCTGAAAGCAATTAAAAATACAGAAAAAAAAATCTACTTCTTAAAATTTTAAAATCTTGTGTTTTTCAGACAAAGTTGTAGAAATTCATGATGCAGTGACACGGATCATCTGTCAGAATCCATGTATTATGATGTTCTGACAAAATAGGACTATATCCTTCTTCACAGCTACTACAATAAAACTAGTCTGGAAGGTTCTAAACACCATACAAATTTTTTTTTTTTTTATTTAATATAACTTTGCAGTAATACCTCACTGGTGACCTTAAACTGTGTAGGTTAGGAAGAAAATTCATACTATTGATGGATCATCTGTTGAGAGTTAACCTGGCGCTTAGGATTTTAAAAACATGGGGTTTCACCAAAGGGTATGAACCACAAGCTTCTCTTTTGAAGAAAGAGCAATTCTCTGTGTTCTAAGTGTTATTTGGCACAAAAAGTTGCATTGCAGTAGCTACAAAATAGACATACATGTATAAACTCAAGAGCATGGTGATACTGTATAAGCACACAGAGGGACGACTATGTAAGACTGTATAACAGAGTGCTTTGTCTGTAAAGACGGATATCTTAAACTAATAGTGCTAGACAAACTTATAATGTTCCAGCTTCTGAAAGGCTGGCTTCACTGACAGTATTCCTCATCTGCAAATTTATATACCTCTTAGTATGCTTGCTGTGGGATCTGGACCTGAAACAAATGGAGAGTAGTAAATCAGTTTTTCTTACAGAATTGAATTATCAAATAAGGTACAATTTAGTAATAACAAACCAAACTAATTGACCTGTTACTATATTTCTTATTTTACTAGCAATTCTTTAAAGGCCTTTTATTCGATGTTAACATCTTTGTAACGTATTTTCCACGAAACAAATCCCTCTGACAACTCTTTTGCGTTCGTTGTTCTTTTACTTTCTTTTGAGCCCACCATACCACAAACCCAAAAGAATATCTAACCTGATTTTTATTCCCACCCCTCCCACAGAAAAAGCTTACAGTTCAAGTCAGTACACCCTTATTTCTTGTCAGGCACATATTATCAACTGTAACAGGTTTCAGAGTTTACACTGTTAATCTCTGAAGCTGACACCTTAAGAGAACTGCAGTTCAGATTCCATTCCACTCTAGCCCCACAAGGCCTGGAAGCAACTATTTCATAGAAGAACACGGAATTATCTCCTTCAGTCATATATTTAACTACTTCCAATATGGAAAATTTCCAACATCTGTAAAGAAAATATCTAACATCCAACAGATGTCAGAAACTCACATGTGTGCAAGCTCACACCTGTCAGGTCTTACAACAAGGTACACACCTGAAAATTACCTCATTTAAAGGCCACTTACTAAATAGAGACACTTCTATCTGCAGTTTTTAAAAAGGCTTTTAAGAAAACAATTCAGGTTTTAAGAGTTAGACATGAAATTCACTCTCAATCCTTCTAAGTTTCCAAGGAATGAAGACTATTGTGATTCTGCAAATTTAAAAATGTGTATGAACTACACATTTGTTTTCCCATTAAATATGTCATCATGTATATGCAATTAAAATATACCCCTACCTCCTCAGTTTCTCCCTTTCTTCTCTTTCCCTCTCCTCTCTACGTTTCAGACGTTCCTGATTTCGTTTCTCCTGTTTATCAGCCACAATCCTCTAAAACCAAAGGAATATATTCATTAAGTTACATTTCAAAATTTCTCATATGAAGGTGCTATAAAAATAATCTAGACAGTTAACATTCAGTTCTTCCCTTCATGTATATTTCCTTTCCCTTGTGTATATTATTCCCTCTCTCTTCCTCAGTGTGTGTGTGTGTATATATATATATATTATTTTTTTTTCTTGAAGAAACAGAAGTTATTGCAGAAGAGCTGCAGCAAATAGATCGGTGTTACACGAAGACCTGAAATATGTAGAGCTATATTAAGTTTTCCACGAAGGGGAATTCAGAGCAGTAAGTCATGCCTTTAATGTGGGAGTTGCCATGCCAATCCTATCATATTTTGGCCACTGGGGAAAGGCAGAAAGGAATCAGAACTGGGAGAGTTAAATGTTTTATTAACTCCTTCAGCTATGCTGTGACATAAAGAAATCCTTAACCTTAAAGGACTTGGTTGGGCTGATACCTAGTTTTGAGGCTACTTGTTTCTGTATTGTGAACACGAGACATATAATTAGAGAGTATGTTTCAGCTGACAGTCCCCAGGTTGAACTCACTACTACTGGGGACAAGGCACGCTCAGTAGAGGGCCCTCAGATGTGGAACTCACAACTGGAGATCTGGCCAAACCCAAGTCTCGCCACCTTCTGGACATGATGCAAGAAATTCAACTCTTTGTAAAGACCTTCTTCTGAGATGTGGAATTGCCCCAGCAGCATCTTGATTAGATCTCTGAGGAGAACTCTGAGGAAGGAGGGGATAGTTATTGTTTTCTTTTTTTGTTAGCGAAGTACTTAAAAAGATTATTTTACTGATGCTTTGGGAATGTGAATTAATTATCCATGCATTTTTTTTTCTGAATAGTGTAAATAAACAATTATTTCAACCTTTTATGTCAAATTATATCTGTACTTCCTTGTACAATATCAGTAATTTAACTACATGCAAGGTTTCTTGTTCAAGTGACTCTTTGTATAATTTCATGGAGGAACGAGAGGAAACCACCATGATCTATTCTAGGCATCTAAGGTTTAAGTTACAGCAGCTATATTTAGGAACCTAAATTGCCAATAACAGTCAATGGAAAGAGTTGGGCTTTCCAAAGGCTGTCACAGTATCCATGCAAGACAGCTGGAATATTATGAAATAGAAACCAAACCCATTTACTCAAATTCAGTCGCAGCACTTTCTGCTTTTAGGGATCAACTCATTTAGCTATTGTCTTTAGTGATTTATACAGTTAAGTGCTTAGTTGAGCCTTGACCTCCATAATTTGCATATTAAGATCATAAATGGTATCACTATCCAAATCCTCTTGAATACCAAAAGTCTAGAATATAATTCCAGTAATTTTCTCTTCCAGCACACAATTTCGGGTCAAGACAGTGTAGTTTAGGGTAATATTCCAACTGGATTTCAAATCTTCACACTACAGAGAACATGCAACCTCCCTGTAACAATTATTTTAATAATTAGCCTGACTTCAAGATATACATCTTTTTGTATTCTGACTTTGGATAGCTACAGCCTTGAGTTGTTGGAACTTAATTATTTCATGTATTGTCAATCAGGCTTAAAAGCCTTCAAAAATTACTTAGAAAAAGAAATCTTCTTTAGTTGTTGGCACCCATATAATGAAAGTCACCTCCTAATCTTTGTCTGGATAAAAAAAACAAATTGAGTTTTATTCTTTCACCATAAAGCAGGCTGTTTGAGCTCCAAGCATTTCTGTAGATCTTTTTTGAAAACGCTGACATGTGGTATGATCCTCCTTACATATTGGTACCAAAACTGAGGATTTCAACACGAGTCATATTAACATTTTATCCTAATTAATTAAATAAAATATCACTCACTTAGGCCCACTATATGTTCTTGTATTTTCACAAGAGTCTCATTATTACTTTTAGCCAATCAGCCAGCTAAAAGTAAAATTCATTTGGTTATCTCTTATAAATATGTTTCAACGTTGCTGTTGTTCAAAATACAGTTCTCCATTTTACATGTGGAACCGCACTCTTTGTTCCCAAGATGCATTACTATGAACATGTGTTTTAATATACCTCAGTGCAAAAGAGGTCACCTTACCAAATTATCCAGATTACTGATCTTAAATTACAATGCTTAGTGTTTTGTAGACTAATGAAATCCCAAATTTTTAAGTAATATGAAAAAAATTCACATGCCCAGAAAGAAACATTCCATTAAGGTTGTCTAGCAAATAATCAAGTAGGAGCACACATATATACACACACAAAAATATAAGAATGATTTACCCTGAGTTCCTCAAGCTTCTCTCTTATTTCAATAAATCCTAAATGTAGTTTTCCTCCAAAGTGGTCAGCAAGTCGTCGATCATTGTCATGAAGACCAAGATAAGCTGAGCACACTTCACAAACCCGTAGCTTCTGCTGCTGAAAGCTGGAGGCAGGCATAGAATTCCTGTATATTTCCTAGAAAAAAATCCAACAATTTGCTAACTGTTACTTAACAATGCACAGAAATATGAAGACAACACTTTACTAAATATACACTACAAAATGATAACCAAATTCAATGCACATCAGAATACCCTTTAGGTAATTAACACTATTCATAAATCAACTGTCTCATTAAGATACAACGCAGGTTCTGTATTTTGAAGATTGGACATATTTAAAAGCAGGACAGCAGCAACTGGTTTTGCAAATTAAGCAAAGTGGGGTGATTATTACCTTTACTTAAGATCATACTACTTAGAAGGATGAGCAACTTTCTCACATGCAACAATGAATACATGTTAACACTACAATTACTATGTTAACATATTACGAAAATCTTACACCAGTTTCAATTCTGAACCCAGTTTAAAACAGTAGTAGTTTCCTTAGAAATCTACCTGCATTTTAGACTCTAATTACACTCAGATGACACACAAGCAAGACTGCCAGGAACCCCTATGGTACCATTAAAACAACTGCAGATGTTTGTTTCTATAAATTTAAGTATCTTGGTGAAATACAATATGGAGAAGCTCTTGTTGAGTTCTGCCACCTGAACATTACAACAAGGACTGTTTTGACTTGCCTAATACACAAGCCATTGCCTAATTATCTTTCAATGAGGACAATGTTTCTCTTCACTGAAGCTTTCCAGCATGAGTCACATCAGCACACCACCAGGCCACAACCACAAGACCCAACGAGGTAAGCCAGCCCAACAAACACAGACACAACTGTAGTGTCCACAGATACAACTGGCCAATACACCTAAACTGAGATAAGTGTCATCTGTTAAAGTGAGTATCATTTTAACAGTATAGGAGTGTATTTAAAGGTAGAAACTTTAACTGTACAGGATGCCACAAGTCAATTTTTTTAGTTTTATACTTAAGGAAGTGACAGCAGAATAGATATCTTGCATTACACAGATGCCAACCAATTTAATATTGCACCCTGCCCTCTCTATCCCCTAAGCCTTACACAATAAACTTACTTCTGCTTCTCTCTTCTTCACCCGAGCCTTCTCCACTTCATCCATTACTTTTTGAGATTCTTCCACATTTCCATCAGCTCCAAGCTGTTCTACTTTGGCCAGCAGTTTCCCAATTTCTTCATTCAATTCATGAACTCTTTCAGCCTTGAAAGAGAAGGAAAGGCTTAACACAGGAAATACTGTTATTCATGGAAAACAATCTGAACTACTACTGAGTTATTATATGCAAAATTGGTAGGACAGGCTTGAAAGAAACATGCAGAGAGAACTTCTCCAGGTAAAAGTGAAACAGAAGTTGCCTCATGTAAAAACACACAGAGAAAGGCTGAGTTACCAAGTCTATGTACCAACTCCAGAGCAGGATTTTGTTTAGAAACGCCAAGTAATTCACACTGTTGTCTACACCACAGTCTTGCAAAATTAGTATTTGTACAACCACTCCTCCTAGCATGTGCATGTATGTGCAGAAAAATGATAAACTTTTTTTTCAGTTAGAAGACCTAGAGAAAAGCACATCAAATTTTGTTTACTTTATGGATGAATTTTTGATCAAAAAGTGTAGGAATTACTAATATTTGTATAGCATGGTATCACAGAGAGTCAGGTTTCCCAAGCTCAAAAACATCAGAGGGGTCTCTTCCCTGTGTTCTCCTTTCCGTGGTTCAAAGGCAGTTTTGGGAAGGTTACAGAAAATGTCTTATTTTTTTCCCCTCCTCAGTATGAATTCTCAAATTGGACAGCTTACCAAAGCCTCAAGTTGGCTCTTTAGAAAAACGAACCTTCAAAGAGACTTCAGTAACTAGTTTTACATGCTTACTTTAGCTGCAACTTCAGCACTGATTTCTTCTTGGGTTTCTGCTAGTCTTTTCTTAGCCACTTCTGTTCTCCTGTCACAGTCTGCAATAAATGACTGCAGGTGGTCCATTGCCTGAAACATCAGTAAGAATACCAATCCATGCAGTCAAGAACACGAATACTTCATCAGCCTTAACACTTTCCAGGTTTATTAAGACTTAACTTTTACAAGTTTTTATTAATGAAACCTTTGTAAAACAATAATCTAGCAGCTTATGGTGACTAATCATGTACATTAATACACAACATTTTAAAAATCATAGCATACACATTGTCATAGTCCCAGTATTTTCAGAAATTTGGAAGTGAATCTGTCTTAAGTCTTCTCTAAGAAGAAGTGAGCACTTCTAACATGCATTAAAATTCTTCAAACGATATTCAGGTTCAACTCACCCAGCCAATACTTGCAATATCGTAACTTTTTTCACTAGGGTTTTAAGCTATTAAGCATCTTAACACCATCCTTCCAAACAACAACAAAAACCACCCAAACCTTTTTGTCCTAGTGAAGACTGACTTCCTAGTTGGGAGTTCAAAACTGTATTACTCGAACTACAGTATACGGAAACATAGCAAATGATTTATTATTCCCAATACAAAATTAATTTCTTCAATAAGCATAGAATTTAAGATGCTATTCAAAGCATATACAGCCTTAACATTTGCTTGCTATTTGAGAACACTAAGCCAGCATCCAGGTTTATGATAATTTATTCTGTGGCCGGCTGTTAACCGTTCTACCTAGAGATTACTACCAATACAAATGAAATACTCGCATTAAATGATGAAGAGGCATGTATCTTTTATGTAACTGTGCAAGGGTTTCTCTGCCTCTTGCTATAAAATTACTTTCCAAAAGTTTTCCTTCTGTGTATACCAAAACTTCACTTTCGTTGCTCAGTTTCATCCACCCTAGGTACACAAATTATGCTTTCTCTCCACCATTAAGACAAAATACATACATCGAGCTCAAAGAAGAAATCTTGATCTTTGGATGCTATTTCATAGTCTGCCCTTAATGCCAGGTCATGCACCTTCAAACATTCTCCAAGGTCCATTCTCTGAAAAGAGACAGAAGGAAAGTGATACAACTTTTCAGAAGCGTTACAAAGAATGAAGTTAGCATGATTAACAGTCAAATATTCTGAAGCAAATAATCTCCCCTGTGGGAATGGAAGGACAGTTTAATAAAACTATAAGACAATACCAGATCTTCAGCAAACATGCACGACCAAGGAAATAAAAGCAGGGGATGAACAGCTTATGCTGGCTGTTTGCATTACAGAGTATCATTAATGTCCTGCAAAAATGTTGTTTTAATGAAAGTTCAAAAAAGTGACTGAAGTGGGACATCCTCTACTGAATTAAAACAGCTTAGGAGAACCAAGTTCCCTGCAAATAACTGGCAATTAAATGGTCAAATGTTTGATCCGAACTGTCTGCACACTCCATATGTGTTTAAGTTCTACTCATCACCTGAAATAGCTACAACCACAGCACCACTGTACAACCTGCTTAAAAACCGTTCTTGAAGCATTGCAAGTAAGATAGCCAAAAATCAAATCCCAGCAAAACATTTTGCAGAGCAATGAAGATGAGCTGAGTGTTGGACTATATTCAAGAATCAGGGAAGAACAAGTATAGATATTTTACTTGTAATCTAAAACTGTTCTAGAATGGGCTGGAAGGAAACAAAGTAGACTGCATCACTAATCTCGCGTACAACACTAGTGAGAAGAGTGCCTAGAATCTTATTAGGTAACAAATACTGTTGTTAAATTGAAATCTGCATACCACATAGCACAAGGAATTCTAATTCAATCTGTTCCTTGAAAATTTGTTTGGTGATCAAGACAGAGTGAGGTGCACATGACAAAAAAAACAACCTCAGAACAAACAAAAAAACCCCCACAGCCACGCCGAACAAACCCCCAAAACCAATTTGTAATGGAAACAAAGTTGAACAAAACCAAGGCACCCTCTCTGCAAAAGCACAGGCTAATGTATAATCATTAAAGGTGATTATTATTATTTGCATCACTTAAAACTAGCACATTTTCAGTTAAGTCTGTTGTTGGCACTGCTCACTTAATATTAAGGAAAACTAACCCTTTCTTAATATTGAAAGCACATAACAAAAGTTGAACTCTGATGGAAAAAGCTGTTATTGTTGAGGTTTAATAACAGTTTCAGAACCAAAACTAAAATCAAAAACTCGTGTTGCGAGTTCTGTAAATAAAAGGTGAACGCTAACTCAAAGTGCTGCAAGTCACTTGGTATCTAAGCCAAATGAGTGCACTTTTGTTTTCTTAAATAAACAAAATACTTGCATTTAAGTAGCAATTCAAGCCTCATTAGTAAAAAACAAAACAAAACCAAAAAACCCCCAAAAAATCCAAACACCATCAATTGCTTTCCAGTTCTCAAATTACCAGTTTGATGTTCCAAGAAATCCAGTAAAGTAATTTTTACAGAAGTTGTTGATTTATTTCAAATGTTAGAGACAGTAAAAGCATTGTTAAAATAAAGAATTTTGAACTTGAAAGTTTTTGACAAACTGTAGTTATTTAAATATCCTTCAACCACCATAAATTTGTTTTCTGGAAAACATGTGATTGCAATAGAGAACATCTGATTGCAATGCTAAAGAAAAAGATTAGCTTTTCCTTTTGCAACTACACAGGACCTCAGCAATTTCATTAACTGATGCAAATCCACAAAGACCTTGGAGTTGAACAATGAATTACACTTCTACTTCCCAGTCATTAGATGCTGCATTATTTAAACTGCAGCATTCTTACAGGTACGTAGTTCAGTCCCAGGAAAGTAATATGAAAGAAAAATTATCTGAAGATGAGACACTTAAAAATCCTTCTAAAATTGTGAAAAGCTTGTCTTTATGCTGATTCATCACTTGTACTGATAAGGTATTTAAAGTTAAGCTGTAAAACTCAAGGCCAATCCTGTTTTAAGTGAAGCACTCCAGTTCTAAACACATAGATAAGGCTAGTGACATACTTTAATAGATCCAAACACAATGACAAAAAGCCTGAAACACATCCACCATAGCATCAGGAAAATGTTATTTTAATATGCAATCAACATACATTTTGCATAAATGCATCAAATAAACTTCCATAACACTAAAAAACAGAACTCACATGACACTACCACGACATACTGTTCACTTCACATGTGTTTTACACTTATTTTCCCTCTGTTCGGGTTGGATTTGCCCTCCTCGAGACAGCACATTTTCTGATTTCTTTTCTTCTTACTAGGAATTGTAAATCCATAGCCTAAAAGGACAGTAACTACTCCGAGCCAGCATTACTACTGAAGAATTTTCTGTCCTTCCTTTATCACTGTGCTGTGCCACCCCACGCTGGCACATCTGCCCATGCAGTTGAACACAACCTGGGTACTGACTGGGTAAAATGTTATCCTAAACCGAAAACAGAGGCCATTTTTCAGCAGTGTACCTTTGTCCAACTTGTCAGGCAGCCACACAAACAGATGTGCTGACAGTGTATACGGGGGCAATGTAATAGTGGACTTACGCGGCTAGGATCTCCTGCAGTATCAAGATGTCACTTCAGAAACTCTTGAGTAACTTCAGTAATATCAGGGGCAATTTTTGGAGATGAGGGAGTTGTTACATAGGATTTGTTTTTGTTAGATGTCTCAATCAGAAATCTTAATTTTGGCTCCCCTTCCTCTCTTTGATGCAACAAAGCGCAGCCTTACAAATATGTGGCACAACAGACAGGGAGCAAGAACAAGCAGGTACAAGAGAAAAGGATTCTTCTTCATTAGCTTTGCTCCTGAAGAAATATCATTGTTGGAACTGCTCCTTAACACAGGCCTGTGCTAGTCTTGGCTAAGACTTTGAAAGCACCTTCACACAAATATTACTACTAAATGTCTTTCTTAAAAGTTCTATTAGCAAATCCCAATGTAGAGAGATATAAAACTCTTAAAACAGTTTGCATATTTTATGCAAAATTAGGCTAAAAAGCACTTCTGCTGGTATGAGTTACAACATTAGGCAAAGACAAATTCATCTTGGGGATTATTCATTACTGTCAAAAGTCTATCCTGGATCAGGATTGCCAAGGACCTTAATAAGCACCGAGCAGCTCATATTATAATTTGGCTCATAGATCTAGCTGCAAAGTAGACGGACAGCAGATGGAAATGGACAGAAGATACAGTAACATTTTCCACATGTCTACCTTTCGATTTGGTGCCAAGACATGCCCTCTCCTAGAGGCCAAGAACAAGTGTCGGTAGTCAGCCATTCAAAGATCAATCACATTTGAAACAGAAGATGGCTATGAGGAAGACTAACGTTCAGAAACTGAGCTACTACTGAAGGCGTAAAAAGAATGCACAAAAACTATTTTTTTTTCAGACAGACTGACACTATTTAAAGAGATTTACAGAGCAGTCTTGTGGTAAAGAAAATAAAGAAAGGTGGGAACATCCAAGTCCTGAGGCTACACATAACTGAAGTTTATTGAATATGTGAAGCCATGCTTTGCGGCTTTTTGCAGTTACTGCACTTTTACTAGAGATTAAAACTAGAAAAAACCCTACATATTTGGAGTCTTTCTTGTAAGTGAAAGCTATTCCTGAAGATTAGTCTTGAAAATAGTCTAGGCAACAACATGCAAAGCAGGATACCATGAGTCCCTTTGCCATTGCTGAGCTCTGCTTAAGAAACTAGTGCCTCCTACTAACAACTTGCTAACCATTTTCTGTAGTACTTTTTTTATTTCTCAGCATTAGATGGTCAATTAAAGCTACTTGATTTCCCAGAGCTGAGGTTTAGACAACAGGTCTTTCACCCCCATGCCACCTCATACTGAAATGACTACTAAATCATTTTTGTCATCCCATCCACAAAATTGACAGAATGCCTTTGGTATTAATATAGAAATATGGATAACATACATTTAGTTTAAAAAATGACACATAGCTCTAATTCAGTCAAACCAGGTACCAAACAAAGGAGATGCACATCAATTAGGTATGAACATACAAGGAAGAGGTGGCTGAGGACTTAAGCAATAGAGAATCTGAAGAGTTTATCTGTAAAAAACAAATGTGCACTCAAGAGTAGCCGACACCAATAACTGAACCAGAGACTAAACTCTGATGTGATACTGTTTCTGGAGCCTGAAATTAAGAAGGCTTTCTTTTCAGATGTTGAGCTACTTCCGGCAAAATTCCCATTCTGGCACTTTTACAACTACTACACATCCCTTTGACAACAGAGATTAGATTATTGAATGTACTCTACATGGCATGCAAAAAGAGCACAGAAAAGCCACAGCTATTTAAAACAGAGTGCTGATGTTGAGCCAAGTGTGACATAGTAGCACATGCTATCAATGCTTCCAAAACAAGCATGCACCTTTGACAGGTTTTGAAAGAAAAGACTCTGGGCAGTGTTTATATAGAGCATTCTTTCCTGGCTACAAAGATACTCGTACCAAAGCAGTTCACATTCAGAAAGTTTTTTTTTGTTTGTTTCCTCAGGAAGATCTGACATGACTGAAAAATATACATTGGAGGAACCAGGTCTCTCCCTTTATCAAACTGTCAAGGCAACTACTGAAGTCTGTATGAGAACACCTTTGCTACTGAAAAAGAAGCTGCAGATAAACTCTTTGCTAAGATCTTCCTTATTACGGAACTCACTTTTCATCTGCACTAACAACTTTATTTCTGGCAGATTTTTAGACTTGTGATAAAGCACATCCTTTCTTGTAGGCAACACATGTTCACAAGGGGAGCCTTTAAGATGATATAATAATGGGTGAAGTCTGCTGATTCCACTAACGGTGCTAACTTTTTTAGGACTTCACCAGCAGAAAAGAAATGCTGAGCTAAAGAGAGGCAGAAATTAAGTTACTAAAGTTCTTAGTGACCACTCAAAATTACAAGTATCTTCAGAAGTATAATACTTCTTTAAAGACATTTATCCCTTTAACCATACTCTCGCTCCTGAAGATTTCAAGTCCTTGGAATCAGTCTTCACTGAAAGACAAAGCTA